GCGGCCGATCTGGCACTCCGCCGTCAATCCGGCGAATACCTCCCGGTGCTGGTCAGCTACCCGCGGACTCCAGTAGAATGTCCATTCGAGCTGTCCACCTGGGTCCTCAGAGTCACACCAAACCTGGCGCGCCTCATGCCTCTGAAGATCTCGATGCCGATGGTGCAGTGTTCGGGCATCCCATGAACGACCTGGCTTGAGTTCCGCTTCCTCTTGAGGTCCTCCAGAAGCTTGCCCTTCCAGCGGAGGCCTCTTCTTCAGCAGCTCCTCAAAGAGGATGCGGCTGCGGGAGTCACCGATCAGTACGATGCGGACCGGGCGCTGCCGCCGCGCGTACAGCCGCCGCAGGCAGGTGGTCACCTGACTCGCCGTCAGCACCTCGTCGCCGCAACTGGCCAGCGAGGCGGCCTCCGACTCCCAGGCCCGTCGTGCCTCGGAGATGCTGAAGACGCTGCTGCACCGGTCGTCGCTGGACGCAGCTACGTCGCCTGGGCACACAGAGATACGGTGGTTGGTGTCAAAGTGGCAGCAACGAAGCACCTTACCGCGCTTCGTCTTTCCTCCGAGAGCCTCAGGCGCGCCCGGAAACCCGTTTTACAGGCATCGCCTGATGGACCGCTCGAGTCATTACAAGAGTCCTCTTTAAGCAGTGTAATGCAATGCAATGCACGGAAAGAAAATGCTTAGTGTCTGAAAACTTCATATTCGTGAAAATCAGGATCATGTGACAGCACAGACAGGAAATTGTACCGGAAATTATGTATTTGCCAAATCCACCCGTTACCAACCCGCTGCCTCATCATATACAGGAAATGATTCATTTACCCAATCCACCCACTATCAACCCCCTGCTTTATCAGTTACACTCACACGGTATTGTTCTTTATCAGGCCACTACCCAACTAAGTCCATTTTTTGTAACACTTTGGTTGTAGATTATGGAAAAGTTTTGGGAAAGCGAATTCCAGATTTACCCTGTTCGGTTCGTAACGGCAAAAGTAGGGTGAATGAGGCTACTTATGTCTCACAGAAACGCGCCTGTGGCATTGCGCAGTATGTCTTGAAGTAGTTAACTCACACTCACATTTCGTAAACGTCTTACTCATCGTGCCTGTACCTTAACTGTACCCATTACCAAAATTGTCCCCAAATCCGTACCCAACCCATCCCATCCCGTTCGAGCACCCATGGGGTTACCCCAACCTTGAAGTCCTTTCAACACCCTCAGCAGCAAGCGTCCACAGAGGAGGGGGGGGGGGGGGGGGGAGCAGAGAAGGAAACAAGGCACGGCACAGGTTGCGTCGAAGTCGGGTTGCACATATCTGAAAGTGGGAATATCTGAAAAGTTGCACATATCTGAAAGTTGGATGTGCAATGTGTAATGTGTGTAAAATGTGCAAAAATGTAAGAAAGTGTAGTTGAGTAATAACCTGACCCCTTGCCGACGGCCAGTAGCTTTACATTAAATCTGGGCGGTCCTGTTTTGGCGATACTTTAAATATACATTATATATATATATATAATATATAATATATACATATGTACATATATATACATATATATATATATATTATATATATATATATTCATTAGAAACGGCCATTTTGCGTTGCTGCACGTTCATGTGCACACTTGTCAATTAAAATTAATGTGCCAATCCGCCAATCAATCCGCCAATAATAGTCTCTGCTGACATTTTCGAAACATACTCCTCAGTACTTTCCTGTCGAACGATTATCTCACCTGATCGATGCGTCATGTGCGTGATAACAATGATGATAACGGCTGCCACGGGAATCGATCTGAAGGCGGGGTTAAGCCATTACTCCGATGCCGATACGGTTTCGTCGGCGCTTTCCCTCCTCACTCAGGCATCTTTGATCGACTGCATGTGTCATCATCCATTGCATGCATGCCCATCCAAAAGAGTACCTGCAGAACACTAGTGGTACAGCGTGACGGCAGATGCAGCTCTAACGTAAGTGTTACAGCGGCCGCAGTGCAGGACCCTCTCAGCCGCTCGGCCACCGCGGCCGCGACAGGCTGCCGGGGGCCGCGGCCAGCGCGCTGGTGTTGAGCGTGCGGGCGGGATAGTAGGCGGGAGCTGGCTAATGTGAAAGGCGTCAGAGAACGCCCATGTGCTGGCCAGTGAGTGTTTGCTCACTTTGGCGAGCGCCGCTTTGAAGCGCTCACGTTCCCCTCCCCTTGCCCCGTGCGAGGGACGCAGCCGCGCGGGCCAGGAGAGGGGGCAGTAACAAAGGAAAGACTCGGACAGCCGCCGGCGCGGCGACGAACTGTGTGGAGCGCTGTGACGATCAAATACAGGATCAAACGATCAAATACAGGAGTGGTTCTGGACGTACCGTGCGTACCAGCTGGAGGCGAAACACCAGAACAGCAGAACTCACAAATGCGTGTCATCGGCCCGGTTGCGGATGGCTGCAGGGGTCAGTTAGTGTGACGACCTGCCTTAATGGTTGGATACGCTAAATATGTCATGGTTTGATTACGTCATCGTAAAAAACACCACATAGGTTGAGAGCCTATTCACGACCGCTTGCCCGGAAATTGTGCTCACGAACGCCAGATATGCGCGACTCAACAATCACATTTTCTTGCCCTTGATCGCCGCGTGACGAATGCAATGGCAGGACCTGAAAGGCGTTAATATGGTGGAATGGATGCCTCCGTGACCTTGAGTTATTCCCCCCGAAATAGTCTGCACGTCTTCGCGAACGTATAGCTCAGAAACTAGTGGGATTTAGGCCCTCCAAATGATTTTCAAGACGCCTATTTCAGTTCAAAACTCCACACAAACGTGGAACACTCCTTCTAACAACAAATATGGAACACTCCCTTTAACAGCAGCAGACAGCAGCGGCGGTAGCAGCACAAAGCTGGGCAGTGGTCGTGGCGGCGGTGTAACGCTGGAAAACAGCATAGACCGCTAGGCACTGGACGGCGGCGGTAGGTACTGGCACTTCATGATCCACCAGCGGCCGAAAGTGCTGCACAGCTGACTTGACGCCGAGGCAAACTGCTTTGGTTCCACCTGCAGATCCAGGGCGTCTACTATATCTGGGTATGTGGCCAGCACCGCGGTGTGATTTAGCCGCTCCTGGCATAGGGTGGAGCGCAGCCACCCTCAGACGACGAAGAAGACTGAAAGCCCGCCCTGCCCTGCACGATATTGCTGGAGAGGCCAGAATCAAACGCAGTAGCGAGGCAGCGGCTCCTGCTCCTGCTCCTGCTCCTGCAGTAGCGAGCCAGCTCCTGCGCGCAGGCCCTCGTCACCCAGCAGGGCCACCACGTCGTCAAGGGTGTCGAGCGGGGCGAGGTCAGTGGTGTTTTTCTCTGGCCTGACGCCACATGCGCCAACATCTGGCGGTGGAGGCCAAGTCGCTCCAGGTGGAGGCTACAGAAGATGGCGGTTGCCACCAAGGCGTTCTCTTCCGCCGTGAGGAGTGCTCTCTCGGCCGTGATCAGGAAGGGCTCATCTGAGCCGAACCCACCGCCAAAGCCGGCCAGACAGCCGACGGCTTCGCCGTGCACCTGGCGGTGGCGGTCTTTGGGACAGGCAGGCTGGTGCGGCTCGGCGTCCTCGTCCAAACGCCGAGGCGGTCGCATCGGGCGTCGTAAGTCCACTAAGTAAGCCCACGCACGTAAGTCCATAAGTCCACTCCTAGGCGTTCTCTCCGCCCAAAGGCGGACGTCCGCTCCTCCCAAAGGCGTTTCGAAACGGTCACTCTGGGACAGGATGACATCCAAGAGCGCACGACCCTCAGGTTGGCAGACACCGACTGCACCTGTCCCAGTATAGTGCGCATGGCGGGTGTCGTCACTTGAAGCACGAACAACGTCACGCGCAAGCTGAAGAAAAGCCCAAACTCTCAGAGGGTTCTGCCAAAGCCGCTAGCAGAAGCTGCGACCCTCGGACGCACCTTAGCATCATCCGCGAGTTCTCCCACGCTGGTCACCAGAGGCTCGAAGCCCTTGACCACGGAGGTCAGGCGCGCCTCGCTGCAGGTCCATCGAGTGGGGTGCAAGGGATGCAGAGACGTCTGGGCCCCGGCGTGCTCCAGCGCCACCATTCTCCTCGACGACTCGCGGAAAAAGAACGGCCAAGCTCCTGGATGGCGTCGTGAGTCTCGCGCACGCCACTCAGCACCTCCTGGCAGACCAGGCTCAGGCTGTGGGCCGTGCAGTGAGCGAACACAGCGTGAGTTCCTCCACCTCAGGGCCTGTGCTGTCAGCCGGCTGGTTGCGGCCGAGTGGCCGGGAGCAGCACTGCTGCGGCGGTTGTGCTGGTCCGGTGTGAAACATCGGTATCCATTGGCATTGGCACCAAGGTGATGCCGGCCCGTACTAACAGGGGAACGCGTCCGGAGAGGGACGGGTCACCAGGAACGAGAAACACTTCGTCGTTAAGTAGCACGGTATATTGTGCTCTTAGTTTTTTCCTTCTTTGAATTAGAGCTCCTTCGACCACAAATGATCATTTCAGGGCTATGGGGAAAAAGGGAAATGGTTAACATTGGGGCAGACTTGTATGCGCCTGGGGGGGGGGGGAGGATGATGTCAACCGTCGAGCTTTAGCACGCGCATGCGCGCCGGTACCCGGTCGCGGTTCCCCTTCCAACGAGGCTCTCGGCCCACTCGTGCATGACGATGCAGCCTGCCCGAACAAGTGGGGTGCCGCGAGGATACGGGATGAAGCAAGATAGAGGGTAAGAGGGTCGGATGTGTAAGCGGCTCTCCACACAATTTCAAAGGACAGTGACTATGACGTCCTTCCTATGTCTGTTCGCCTCCCCGGACCTCAGCCGCGATGGTAACACCAGAGAGCGATGGTCGACATTAACACCATCAACACTGCCCACCGTATACAACGTGAGAACAAACTTTAAACACATACAATTATTACAGAATACCACACAGAATACCACATATATGTGCCCTTCGTAACTACGCACGTTCGAGCCACCTGGCGGTGACTCGCTCGTCATAGTGTTGGCATCGCGCCGCTAGAGCAGCACTGGCCACTAATTCCGTCCATCGGGAGCTGGAGGCCAGTGAGGGTATCCTGGATGACACGGAAGAGTGCCTCGGGAGTGAATGGGTAGCCTAAGAAAGTCCAATGAACGTCTCCCTGGCGTCTCAACCGCCCGTGACGAACCGCAGGCCGATGGCCACGTGCTCGCGTCCTGTCACGCCTGTCGTCTCGTCCACCACGGTGGCCAAGGTTCCAGCCGCGCCCGCATCATCTACCACCCTCCTAATCACGGCGGTCGCCAGCTGCCTCTACAGCTCCACCAGCGCCTCCAGACTGGGAAAGCACATCCGGCCCGCTCTGCGCCGGGCGACCCGGCGCCCCAGCACGGGATCGCGCTGGGCCACGGTCGTCAAAAACCAGATGACGTTTCCGGCCTCCTCGTCCCGGCGGCAGAGGGCCAGGCCCTGCTTTGAGCGGAACGATGGCGTCAAATATCCGCCGCGGAGTGTGCCGCGCCTCCCCCTGCTCCTCCCCTTGCCGGCGCCGGCGAGCGCTACCACGCCGCTTGGTCCGCTAGCCGTAGTCAGGCTTTGTACGGCCAGTTGGTGGCAGGCGCTGGCTTTGTGGGTTCGAGAGCGCTTCAGCGCCCGCTTCCACGCACTAAATCCTCGGGCTGGGACGACAGCGTCACGCTTTGTGACGCTGCCCTGAGGCCCATAGCTCTTGGGTGCCACGCATCTTTGGCAGAAGACGCCCTTCGAATGTGAGTTGTGCTCCAGCCGAGGGTGACGGCGCCGCCACTCGGGTTGGAAGGTGCACCGGTGTCGTGGCAGTGCTGGGGCGTCGCCAGATGTCTCGGCGCGGTCGGCGGAAGGCCTGGTGACTCAGGATCTGATGGCTCGACTCGCTCAGTGATAGGATCAGATGGAGCAGGTGGAAGTGTATGATGCTCCAATTAAAACCAGAGATGTGCCATACATTTAATAATAAAGGGTTTACCTTTATACATATCCAAGTGAGCTTATTTGTTTATGCTATACAAAAATTGACAAACCTATGGAGGTTGATTAATTTTCCATCACCTAGACAACGGACCCTCTGAGTTTCTCACACGACAAAGAATTTATCTATTTTTTGTTTGGGCATGAGCGCTTGTTCATATAACATGATGTCAGATCAAGGAACTGTGATGAACAACACCATGCAACATTTCAAGCAAATGAATTTGGACAGCAGAGACACAACCCAAATGTTTGGTTCATACAAAATATAATGTGTTCATTGTGAAACTGAAAGAATGTTATGAAGGCTACAGTCCACTCCAGGATATATGTTCACATAGAAATGATGAGGCTTTATACTGAGAAACACAGAATACACACAGCTAGGCACCCAAAATGAGAAGAAAAAAATTAACCTGACAGACCAGTACACTGGAATCAATGTCTGCCAGCCAGATCTAGCCTTCCCTGTCAGACAACAAAAAAGCCTACAGATATCTAGTACATCTTTGTCATTTGCCTGTCCCCCAGACATGAGCACTTGTGTTTGATAAAGTGTTATAGATATGTGGGAAAAGTCACTAGCATCACATAAGCCTGATCATTGGGGCCACACATTTTGTGCTTATATTGACTGTAAGTGTTTGCAACATATTCAGGAAACCTTTAGCTATGCCTGAAAGAAGTAATGTATGTCTTCATGTGTAAATGACCAGAAATATTTCTGTACATATATATATATATATATATATATATATATATATATATATATATATATATATATGTATATATATAATATTTGTATGTACATATAACATAACTATAAATATAACTATATATACTCCATAGTGAGAGCCCTCAGGACATAACACACTCTAGAACCTGGTATCACTGCAGGAATGTTAGGCACTGATACTAAAATAACTTTGAATATTTTTCTCTAACATTCAGGTGTCCATCTCAATTTCCAGGAATGACAAGCAGTGTTCTATCATACAGGACCTATTTCCTACTGTTCCGCTAAGCCTGAAACAGCCACAGCAGCAATTGCTCATATTGAGCAGGCCATACTGATGTGAGAAGTGATTGCTATATGCTTTTAAGGATGTGAAGAACTGTACTTCTTGGCAGGTTGTACTTACTGTTTGTTAAAGAAAAATCTGATGCTTGGGCATTTTGACTCTCTCCATCATGTCACTCATTTACAATGTCTGAGACCTTGCTATCAATAGAACTGCAGGTGCAGAGGATGTCCTGGAATGAATCACAACCATTAGGCACCCGAGTACAGAGTTATGATGCTATCATAAATATGGGCTCTTAAGCAGGAAAAAATGCCTGCAGGGATAGCAAAGCATGCACATGGCAAGGGGACCAGCATGATTGTCTATCTGTCAAGGCATTCCGGTGCAGGTGGGGGCACCTCTGACCATGGCGGGGCAGGAAGCTATCCGGGTATTCTTCAAGTACTTCACCTTTTTTAGAAGAAGAAAAATCTCCACCGCGAGCGTTTTACGCGCAGTGCGGCACGGGCTCAACCAGCTCGCGTTAGCAGGATTGCCCAACTTTGAAATCACACAATCCAAACGACACCTTTAGCACCAAAATAAAGAGCGGGGGCAATAACATTATACACTACGTCGTTTCGACCCACTGCTACTCACAATGCTCGCATGATTGCCCTATCATCTTCAAGAAATAACCCATCTGATAATATAATAATTTCGGCCACAAACAGGTCATATGATTTTTAACACGCAGCCGACGACTTATAGCATGTACTAAAAGGGCAACATAAGCACCAATTACGTACATTCGAGCAATTAAGAAAAGTATCCCAGTTCTTCACATTCGTGTCTCGAATTGATATTTCCAAACAGACAGCACAGAGAAAAACCCAACAATGTCGGCGGAACTGAAGCATTTCCAGCAGTCTTAAAAACGGACCAAGCCACGGGAACCAAACACCGAAGCCAAGCCAACGTTTTTCGGTGCGGTACATTGACGTATATTAGCGCAGTGCATCTCATACACGAGTCCGGATAATGTGATTCACACTTATTAGGACCAAACACATCGTGACGACATTGTCGCTTAAACTACAACACTTGGATTCAATTAATATGACTACTCCGTTTGCCGTGACATGCTGCCATCATGCCGTGCAGAGGGACTATCGTAGTACCCTCTTAAGTAGTGCACCTCTTGTACAGTTCCAACGAGCAATGCTTGAAATCGCTCTGACATCCAGAGACATTACTCTGCCGAGATAATATGCCAACAGCCACCCTAAGGAAACGGATCAAGCCTCGGGAAACGAAGACTGAAGCAAGGCCAGCGTTTTCGGTACGGTACATATACGTCTGTTAGCGTAGTGCACCTCCACACACGAGTCCGGATAATGCAATTCACACCCTTAGAACTGAACACGTCGTGCTGACAATGTCGATGGAACTGCAAGACTTCGGTCCGATGAATAAGACTCATGCATTGCCGTGAGATGCTGCAATCATGTCGTGCAGAGGGACTGTCGTAGCACCCCCTTAAAGTAGTGCACCTCTTGTACAATTCCAACGAGCAAGGCTTGAAATCGCTCTGACATCCAGAGACGTACTCTGCCGAGATATTATGCCAACAGCCACCCTAAGGAAACGGATCAAGCCCCAGGAAACGAAGACTGAAGCAAGGCCAGCGTTTCGGTACGGTACATATACGTCTATTAGCGTAGTGCGCCTTACACACGAGTCCGGATCATGCGATTCACACTTATTAGGACCAAACACATCTTGCTGATGATGTCGGTGGATATGCCAGACCACGGTCCGATGAACAAGACTCATGCATTGCCGTCAGATGTTGCCATCATTGGCGGACGGACTGCAGTAGCACCCTCTTCAAGTAGTACACCTCTGGTATAATTCCAATTGGCGGGACCTAAAAACCGCTCTGACATCCCAAGACATACTCTACCGAGATAATATGCCAATAAAAATCCTAAGGATACGGACCAAGCCTTGGAACCGAAGACTGAAGCTAGGCCAGCGTTTTCGGTACGGCACATATGCGTCTATTAGCGCAGTGCACCTCACGCACGAGTCCGGATCAGGCGATTCACACTTATGGAAATTAAACACATCGTGCTGACAATGGCGGTGGAACTGCGAAACTTCGGTCCGATGAATAAGACTGATGCATTGCCGTGAGATGCTGCCGTCATGTGCGGACAGGCTGTAGTAGCACCCTCTTAAAGTAGTACACCTCTTGTATAATTCCGATTGGCGAGACCTAAAAACCACTCTGAAAGGCAAAGACACACCCCGCCGAGATAACATCCCGACACGAACCCTGAGGAACAAAGCCAAGCCCCGGGAACCGAGGACCGAAACAAAGGCAACGGTTTAGGTACGGTATATATACGTTTAGTCGTGCGGTGCACCTGAAACAAGAGCCCTTACAACGCGATTCACACTAAGTAGAAATAAACACATTGTGCCGACAATGTCGGTTGAGCTGCAATGGTTTGATTCAATGAATAAGACTCATGCACTGTCGTGGGATGTCACCATCATGTGCGGACAGACTGTAGTAGCATCTTCTTAAAGTAGTGCGCCTCTTGCATAATTCGTTGGCGAGACCTAAAAACGGCTTTGTCATCCAAAGACACACTGTACCGAAATAACGTGTCAACAGCAATTCTAAGGGAACGGACCAAGCCCCGGAAACCGAAGACCGAAGCGAGGCCAACGTTTTCGGTACGGCACATATATATTTATAAGCGCAGCGTACCTTATACCATCGTCAGCAAGATGTGTTTAGTCCTAATAAGTGTGAATCGCATGATCCGGACTCGTGTGTGAGGTGCACTACGCTAACAGACGTATATGTACCGTACCGAAAACGCTGGGCCTTGCTTCAGTCTTCGTTTCCCGGGGCTTGGTCCGTTTGCTTAGCGTGGCTGTTGGCATATTATCTCGGCAGAGTACGTCTTTGGATGTCAGAGCGGTTTCTAGGTCTCGCCAATTGGAATTATACAAGAGGTGTACTACTTGAAGAGGGTGCTACTGCAGTCCGTCCGCCAATGATGGCAACATCTGACGGCAATGCATGAGTCTTATTCATCGGACCGAAGTCTTGCATATCCACCGACATCATCAGCAAGATGTGTTTGGTCCTAATACGTGTGAATCGCATGATCCGGACTCGTGTATGAGGTGCACTACGCTAACAGACGTATATGTACCGTACCGAAAACGCTGGCCTTGCTTCAGTCTTCGTTTCCCGGGGCTTGGTCCGTTTTCTTAGGGTGGCTGTTGGCATATTATCTCGGCAGAGTATGTCTCTGGATTTCAGAGCGATTTCAGGCCTTGCTCGTTGGAATTGTACAAGAGGTGCACTACTTTAAGAAGGTGCTACGACAGTCCCTCTGCACGACATGATGGCGGCATCTCACGGCAATGCATGAGTCTTATTCATCGGACCGACGTCTTGCATTTCCATCGACATTGTCAGCACGACGCGTTTATTTCTAATAAGTGTGAATCGCATTGTCCGGGCTCGTGTGTGAGGTGCACTACGCTAACAGACGTATATGTACCGTACCGAAAGCGCTGGCCTTGCTTCAGCCTTCGTTTCCCGGGGCTTGGTCCGTTTGCTTAGGGTGGCTGTTGGCATATTATCTCGGCAGAGTACGTCGTTGGATGTCAGAGCGGTTTCTAGGTCTCGCCAATTGGAATTATACAAGAGGTGTACTACTTGAAGAATGTGCTACTGCAGTCCGTCCGCCAATGACGGCAACATCTGACGACAATGCATAAGTCTTATTCATCGGACCGAAGTCTTGCATATCCACCGACATCGTCAGCAAGATGTGTTTAGTCCTAATAAGTGTGAATCGCATGATCCGGACTCGCGTGTGAGGTGCACTGCGCTAACAGACGTATATGTACCGTACCGAAAACGCTGGCCTTGCTTCAGTCTTCGTTTCCCGGGGCTTGGTCCGTTTGCTTAGCGTGGCTGTTGGCATATTATCTCGGCAGAGAACGTCTTTGGATGTCAGAGGGGTTTCTAGGTCTCGCCAATTGGAATTATACAAGAGGTGTACTACTTGAAGAGGGTGCTACTGCAGTCCGTCCGCCAATGGTGGCAACATCTGACGGCAATGCATGAGTCTTATTCATCGGACCGAAGTCTTGCATATCCACCGACATCATCAGCAAGATGTGTTTGGTCCTAATAAGTGTGAATCGCATGATCCGGACTCGTGTATAAGGTGCACTACGCTAATAGACGTAAATGTACCGTACCGAAAACGCTGGCCTTGCTTCAGTCCTCGTTTCCCGGGGCGTGATCCGTTTCCTTAGGGTGGCTGTTGGCATAATATCTCGGCAGAGTATGTCTCTTGATGTCAGAGCGATTTCAAGCCTTGCTCGTTGGAATTGTGCAAGAGGTGCACTACTTTAAGAGGGTGCTACGACAGTCCCTCTGCACGACATGATTGCAGCATCTCACGGCAATGCATGAGTCTTATTCATCGGACCGAAGTCTTGCAGTTCCATCGACATTGTCAGCACGACGTGTTCAGTTCTAAGGGTGTGAATTGCATTATCCGGACTCGTGTGTGAGGTGCACTACGCTAACAGACGTATATGTACCGTACCGAAAACGCTGGCCTTGCTTCAGTCTTCGTTTCCCGAGGCTTGATCCGTTTCCTTAGGGTGGCTGTTGGCATATTATCTCGGCAGAGTATGTCTCTGGATGTCAGAGCGGTTTCAAGCATTGCTCGTTGGAATTGTACAGGAGGTGCACTACTTTAAGAGGGTACTACGACAGTCTCTCTGCACATGATTGCAGCATGTCACGGCAAACGGAGAAGTCATATTAATTGAACCCAAGTGTTGTAGTTTAAGCGACAATGCCGTCACGATGTGTTTGGTCCTAATAAGTGTGAATCACATTATCCGGACTCGTGTATGAGATGCACTGCGCTAATAGACGTCAATGTACCGCACCGAAAACGTTGGCTTGGCTTCGGTGTTTGGTTCCCGTGGCTTGGTCCGTTTTTTAAGACTGCTGGAAATGCTTCAGTTCCGCCGACATTGTTGGGTTTTTTTCTGTGCTGTCTGTTTGGAAACATCAATTCGAGACACGAATGTGAAGAACTGGGATACTTTTCTTAATTGCTCGAATGTACATAATTTGG